TATTTCTTCTCATAAACAAACTACCAGCCAAATGCTTTCTGGTTGATTGCACCAGAGCTTGACAATGTCTGGCTTTTAATCACAGTTTCCCCCACCTCTCTGAGAACATCCTTGGTCTTCTGGGTAACACAAGCCCTGTGGCAGGCTAACTTATGCTGGGAAAAGGTCGGCTGAGCAAAGCACAAGGAAAGCAAAGCCCAGTGCTCAGCTGAGAGCTGAGGAGTTGCCAGGAGGCTGTGGAGCTCATGCAAAGAAACCCCCTGTCTTCCACGGTACGCTGAGCCAAGATCTCGGCATTTTTAAACCTTCAGATTTCCAGACACTCTCCTCACTTTGAATAGCAAATGAGAATCAATTTAGCTGTCAGCTGGAGAAAGCACTCAGCGTGTGGGACAAAGGGGGATTCAGTTTGAGACCGGAGTGGGAAGCAGCTGCCTGAGATGACTTCAGAAGACAACTGCATCAATAATTCCAAGCTCTTTTCCCTACCATATCTCTGGGTTTCCTGAGGAAGTCATCAAGGCAACTTGGATATCAATCGCAAGGCTGGGCCAGCATACAGTCTACAAGGGTGTGAAAAACTGAGAGACATAACACCTGAAGAGGACAAGGGGTCTAGATGATCTTTATGGGCAAATAGTGATAGGACAAGGGGAAGCAGTTTTAAAATGAAAGAGAAAAGACTTAGGTTAGCTATTAGGGGGAAAATTATTTACTGTGAGAGTGCTGAGGCACAGAACAATTTCCCCAGAGTAGTTGTGAAAGTGTTCAAGGCCAGGTTGGACTTGAGGCTTTGAGGAATGTCATGGGAAAGACATCCTGGCCCATGGAGGGGATCAGAATTAGATCATTTTTAAGGTCCCTTCCAACTCAAAGCCTTCTGTGATGCCGTGGTTGCATTATCTCTCACAGAATTGCAAGATTCTGCCAAGGAAGAATCCTTTTTCTGTTCTGCAGCAGCCTGTGCTCCATTAACCAGCTCTGGCTCCAGTAAATCCACTCAGCTCCAGCAAGACTTTTGCAACAGCCAAGCCCCAGCAGTACAACAGGGATAAAGAAACTGTCAGAAAGCCATTTTGATGGCCAATACTTTATCCTCTGACACAATGCATTTGTAAGTTATACAGGAATTTCACAGTGTGTAATAGTAAAATGCACAAGGTAAAAACTCCAAGTCATTAGCAGTATAATTTATTAGCTAAGTTGTGCCAATGCCTATCAATCAGGCTTTAAGGTTGGTTCCAGAGAGGTTTTTGATCTTCCTCACATTGCTTTGCTTTTCTTCTTCCATGGCAGCATTAGCAGGCGACAATTACATTATATATCTACTCAGTGCTCTGGTGAGAGACCATTATGTTCACAGATCATTACTGACATCCTGACATTTGTCATCTCCTTTCATAGCAGTTAAATCTTGCTTTATCTGTAAATGTCACCACGTCATTTATTCATGAAAAGGGGTCACATTCCCAAAATAGTACACTCAGCTTTTAAAAGGGAAGTTGGTTTTATTCACTGTGGTAATCCTTGGACAAACTTCACTGCTGCTAAGTACTGACATTTTTCCCGATGCAGCTGTTTACATCCCCACATACAGATTTCAGGTTTTTTTTTTCAAAGTGAAACCCTAAAAGAAAGACAAATGACCTGGATGAGAAAAATAAGTGCTTATTTTTTCAGCTTCCTACACTTAATCCACATGGAATTATTATCACTGAATTTACTGTTGTGAAGTATAATTTTAATTTGAGATCATACTGGCTGAGAACCCACGGCTGTCTATTTTTACTAAAGCTTTGGCAGGTAGCTCTCAGCTGGACTGTATTTCAACCTCACAAAAACATAGTTTAAATAATCCTCAATAATAATACTTTCTTTTTTCTATTTTCAAGGCCTTGAAAGTTTAATTAATAAAAGTCTTGGCCTCTCCTGCTAGATACATGGACATTCTTTTCTAAAAAATAGAAAAAATAAATAAAAGCTGATGCAAGGAGGATTCCTAAAGGACTCTTCCTCTGATCTTGGAAGAAATTAACCAAACCCAAGTGTAAAGTCTGAATTTAGCAGGACAGAGACTTCCTCTTACACAATTTAAACACTAAGAGACATCCTTTCCACAGCAGGATTTCCTTTATCACTATGCTTCTCTTTTTTACCTGTTCATACATTAGGATTTTAGTAGATTCATTGAGGAGGTTGTGGTTTTTTAGGACCTATGGATTTCTCTTTGAAGTTCATGTTCAGTTTTCCTCACACCTATCAGCCATGTAAGTCACCAGGAGTTTCATCTTACTCAGGTTATCATTGAGACACTTGCATTATTTCTGAAAAAAATAAAAAGGACAAATTTTAAGGCCAGATTCTAAGATAGCATGAATTAGCTTAACAGTTGGGATCCATATGTATATTTATATATGTATATACATATTTATATATGTATATAGTTATAGCTTATCTAGTGATCTACCATCTTGATGCTTTCTATAGTGATAAAAACATAGCAACTCACTTCTCTAGAGTAATTTCCAAACCATTTTACAAGCCCTAAGAAGTATATGCAGCAATTACTTTTCACACCATTCACAGCAGCTGCTTTATGAGCTCAGCAACGCTCCCCAATAGCTGAAGGTAGAAAATAATAAAAAGTGAGGCCTGAGTTTACCAGGGGGCTAAACGGGCGGCAGCTTCTCCATTAATGTTGCCCCCTGAAGCATATAATCAACAGCTGTATCCATTTTTAAAACCGTCATATCCCTTTGAAAATAAAGAGAATAATTTAAGAAAACTGAACAGAATCACAGAAACACAGAGTAATTCAGGTTGGAAGGGACCTCTGGAGGTCATCTTTGCTGAAGGCAAAGCCACATCAGATCTGGTTGCAGGGCTTTGTCCAGATGAGTTTTGAATATGTCTATAAAGTATCAACAATCTCTTTTCCAGGCTTTGACAGCCCCCATGGTTAAAAAACCAAAACAAAAACCAAACTAAAATGAAAACACAAACCAAAACAAACTAAAAACCAAAACAAACAAATACAAAAGCAAAACAAAACATTTTTAAAACCCAGAACATCCCTAAAATATTCCTCATATCTAATCTGAATGTCTTGTGTTCCAGGTTTTGGACTTTGCCTTATCACCACGCATCTCTGAAGGTGCTCCAAAGCCTTCTCCTCTGAGCACACACACCTCCCTTAAATACTCCTCGTGCCTCCTGACTAACAAAGCCCTACGCTGGATTTGCTCCAGTTTTTCCTTCTCATTCTTTCCCTGAGATGCTCCAAGAGCATGTGTGTGGATGGTCTGTGCACTGCCATCTCACACACGTCAAATCCAGGAGGAGAATTGTTTCTTTCACTGCAAGACATCACTGCTGAGGTGAAGCCCTTGTTCTCCAAGTGCCATCGGCAAAACCTCCTGCACACTTCCTCCAGCAAGTTACTCGGGTTACCATAGTTTCTGCTTCGAGTTTTCAATGCTTCTTTTCCTGCCAAGTTTTCTGCCACTTCCCTCCCCTCCCCCAGCATGTCTTTACAACTTCCAGTTATGTGATTTTTGAGACCAGCTGGAACATAAATGCTCAGAGCTGAAGAACAAATAAAATGGTTGCTTTCAAAAAGTTAACAGACTAAATTCTCCTCTGTGCCAGTTATCTGTTGAAGTCAGGGTCATTACCTCCACTTAAACCAGCTGAGAATTTCAAGTATTTGACCACAGCTTCTGAATGCACCAGGTGTGGGACCAGCTTTCCCTGATAAATCCGTGGTATTGCAATTTTGCTGAGTGTCCAATTCAGAAATATGTTTATTTTTTAACAGTATTGACTATATTGTATTTTCCAAACAATAAAAATCTCTATTTACTAAAGAGATTTTCTGACTTCTCAAATTTGCCTCTATAGCTCATTTTGCCAAAAAAGCAAGGGAGGTCATGTAACAGACCTGTAATTGTAAGTATTGTATTTGAAACACTTCAGTATCAATGCAAGAAAAAAAAAACAAACAAAAAAACCCGCATTTAACAGAGGGTCTGCACAGATTTTGATAGGATTTATTACTAATAGAATCTGTCTATAAAAAATCTGAAAATAATTTTACGGGATGTTCTAAAACATTATCTACTTAACATTGTGCTTGGTTTCAGGAAAAGCTCTCTGCTGATCATTTTTTGCAAGAAAATTGATTTATTCTAAAGAAAGTTACAACTTTTTTCTTTTGAGATGAAGGGTTGTATATTGTTTAAAGACTTTGTTACAGGAAAGCAAGGTAATAATAATCAAAAGGAAAGGGACTGGGGCTCTGAAAGCTTATTTTGCTGTAGCTGTATTTTGCCATGTGAAAAACATAATGGATGTAAATTTTGTTTCATGAAAGCCAAAGGGAGGTTTGTCACAGGCTTGAGTGATTTCAGGACCTGACACCATTTCTCAGGCTGATGGTATTTTGCCATATAACTTGCAGCATTGTTGATGTGAACTGAAAGATCCTACAATTAACTTCCTTTATTCCCATGAAAGCCCTTTTTTTCTTTCTTTTTTTCTTTTTTCCACCATATTTTTGAAGCTTTCCTAAATATACTGGAAAGTTTTGCATTAAGGAAATATTTCTGTTTGAAGTATATTACTCATATCTTTTTGCACGTGTCTTTGTATGTGTGCACATGTATGTACAAACGTGTATACAGAATCATTATCAAACATTAAACATTACAGTGGATATTAAAAAAATTGTGTTTTCTCTACTCACCATGAAGCCTATTTTCTCCTGATAACTACAGCAAACTCTATTGACCTCTGCAGATTTGCACTGATATTGCATATTGCCTGTTAAAACAACTGAAAAAATAACTCTCCCCCCAAGAAGAAGCTGCATTCGTTCATGTGAGATTTTGTTCCTGAATCCTTAAAGAGAATTTTGAGAGCAAATGCTGACAAGCCAAATACTATATTTTTTATTGCCAGATTAAACAAGTAAAAAATAATCACACACACACAAATAGTCCTTTTTCTTTTTAAAATGCATTTTATTTCTCTCAGAACCTTTAATCTCTTTTCTCTCAGCACCTTTAATCTCTATTTCAGAAACAGCTTTCTTTATGTACCCATGCAAATCAAGATCATTGACATCAAATATACATCTGCTTTCCTGGTGTTACTCCCAGCTTCCAGCATGTTTATATTACTAGTTTCATCTACCCACTGATCAATTTTTTGACCAAGCACCTTTCCAGCTTATGGCGTCAAATTGTTTTTTTAAATCAAATGCTGACCAGGGATAGTGCTGCTTGTTGAGCAGCAGTGTCCATCATGTACGAAAATTGAATCACAATAAGGGACGCTGAAGCAGGGATAATCCACTTTTTTACTGACATCTGGCTTATAGCTGTGGCTCACATTTCATGTAGAGACATCGCTCACAGTGAAAGTGAGAGAATGGTAGGTGACAAATGGTATAAAGACTACTTTCGACATTCAGGGATTGGTAGGTGCTTTTGTGCCCTGGTTCTCAAAGATGCTTCCACATGCAGTTGTCGTTCTGGCTAACATTGGTTACAGATTTGAGCACCAGAAGTGACTGCACAGAAAATGAGGGTAGTGTGTCATAAGGCATAATTAATGATGGATGGTCTCTTGCCACTTGGCACGCATTTAACAGAGGGTCTGCAGCACATACTTAGCTTAAAGCCAGGTGCCCTGAGACACGTAAAGAAGCGCTGGTGTCAGCTGAAACCTCCAAAAACCTCTGTGGACACCAAGAAGGACAGTTAACCCCTCTGGATGTGGTTCACCACTGGGAGAGTTATCACACTCATGGATATCAGAGCCAACCCACAGGGTCTGACAGCAAGGACGCGCAGAAACTGAGGCACAGGAAGTTCCAGCTGAACGTGAGGAAGAACGCTTCACTGTATGGGTGACTGTGACCAGAACAGATTGTCCAGAGAGGGAGTGGAGTCTCCCTCACTGGAGAAATTTCAGAACTGTATGGACACAGTCTTGTTCCCTGTGGTCTGGCACAACCCTGCCCAAACAGGCAGATGACCTGCACTGTTTCCTTCCAACGTGACCTATTCTGTGGTTCTGTTGAGGTATGTCAGAGCTGGAGTTTCTGTGAGACTCAGATGAAAAGCAGAACCTGAGTGCATTTCTGAGCACAGACTGCTACCTCTTCCTCTGCCTATTTAGCCATAAAAGGATGTGGCCATCAATTACAGTAGCTAAGGATTAGGCTATCCACAGATTGTGGGAAAGAAAGCTGATGTTCCTATGTTCCAAGAATATCCAGATATCTGGCAAGGGGTCTACCTCTAAAGGCTAAATCATGTACATGAAACCAAAAGGAAAGAAGCCAAGACTTATATTGCACAGTCAAGGACTTACAAAGCAGTAGGAGGAAAATCCTATGACCTGCCTCATCCATAGATTATCCAGTTTTCTGCAATTGTGAAAAATGAATGAATTCAGTGTACCCTTGCTGTCATGTCCTTGCATCACTGCACAATTTTTAGTAAAATTCAATAAAAAACAGCCAAATTCACTCAACAAACTGGGCTCTAGAGAGACCTCAGGTGTATGAATGGTTGTTTTATGAATCACTCAGGAAAGAGATCTCCTAAGCAACAAGCATAGCAAATAGGTGTTCCTGTTGTGCCTTCCCAGTGTTAGAATGGGAAGGAGTTCCCAGTGTTAGAGTGGGTGTCTGAGGGAAGGTTTTCCAAAAGCATTTGTAGCAGCTGAGACAAAACTAATGACAAGCAGCCTTGGAGAGCTTTCCCTGAATTGTAGAGAATTTAGACTTCATCATTTTGCTCAAGTGACACATTTGGTTTTCAAGTGTTTTGCTGATTTCCTAACTGTACCATAGACTGAAATCATTTTGGCCCACTATTGCTGCCAGGGGGACCCACAGCAGCAGCACCGTTGGTCTACAACAGTGACATTTCTGAGGCAAAAATCTGCAGTGCTTCAGAAACAGCTCCATTTTCCACAGCAGAAATGTGTTTGAGACCAAATACAGCATTTGGTGCAACTCAATTTCCTTTTTTCCTCCATGCAGAACATAAGGTAGCATCAAAGGGACCCATTCCTGCTCATAGAGGGAAAAAATCCCAATCTGTATATTAGGGAACCAGATGGAGAAAAGCCAGCCTTTATTTAAGTGTAGCACCTGTGGCTCACTCTCCCAGCTGCAGAGAGGGAGCATATGCTGAGGACATTTGACCAGACATGTACAGAGTTAAAAGCTGTAGAGTATTGTATTAGAAGTTTCTGTCTCAACACAATATGTTCAAGGAAAGAGAAGATAGCCCAAAATACATTGCATGTATTAAATAGAATTATGTAGGCAGGCTCATGAGATAAGTTTTTTTTCCACCTTTTGAGATGTGTTTTCTGTTCTTTATGCTAAATTTTGAATAGAAGGAATTGGATGTTGGATTAAAGATTTGAATAGTCCTAAGAATAGCAGAAAGGATTATTGGGTAATTTGCTTCAACATCTCTTTTACAACCCTATTTCTTAAACACTCTCCACCTGTGCTCTTACCACACCATGTAAAGTTGGCTGACATTTTACACAGTGCTTTACAAATGTGGCAAAATAAGAAAAGAACAGAACAGATCTGCAATTATAACTTACTGTATTTCAAGACGCTTTAACACAGGTAACTTCATGCTATAACTTACAAAATGAATCCCCTTTCTGATCCTCTGAGGATTACTGAAAAACCAAATAAACCATCTGGCTGTTACACATTCATTTGCCTAGCAAGTATTTTGGATGTCCTCCCATTAATATGTCATTTGAAAGAGTATTTAGTTCAGTGGGAGATGAAGCATCACCACACAGGTCATGCCTAAATCAACAGAACAGCTTGTCTCTCTCTATCTCACAGCCAATCTACATATAATTGATTTTCAGAATCCATATTCAGAGACAAAAAACATTTCTTTGAGAGATCCAAGTGCCACATTTCACAGCTCTCTTGCACAACTTTGGGCAAGGTCCATCTTCCACTGCTACAATATTGGTGTAAATTATATATTGCATAATTCTCAGATCATATTCTACTTATTGCAGATGGGCAAAAATTCATAAAACAAATAAAAATGATAGCTGAATTTATTAAAATCTTATTTCAAGCTCCTCTTTTCAAACGGCTTACACTGACTGTCACCCACACAGCACCATATTCAGTGTTAGTGAGAGGTGTTAAGCAGACTTGGTTTGCTCTTCTTCCTCAGCACATTCTTGGTTTTGGGAACAAAGAAATTCCCACATAAGTTGAACAGATGAGCAGACATTTAACATTACCACCAGTCTGAGGTAATTTCCATAAGAACAAACTGCCATATGACGCCAGCCTAGGACACAGTATGAGAGCTGAATCAAACAATACCAGTGTGGAATTTGGATTCTCATTCTAATTCTTAGCACACAGATATTTCACTGCTAACAGACATCACACTACTTTGGTACAAACACCCCCAAAACTGCAAAGGATCTGAAACAGACTGAGAGAAATTTGTGGGGTTTGGATTTTCCAAGTTCACTCACAGATAATGATGCACATACATATACAGAACTTCAAAAACAGCGCTGTTGTGAAATATTCTCCCCTATCCATGACACTGCACCACTTTTTACAAGAGGGGGCTCCTGGATAGTGCAAGCTGTGAGGAAGAGTCACCAGGGCACTTCTCACTCACCTTTTTGCTAAAACCACACTTGAGTCTGCTCCAACTGCTACTGATTCAGCAGAAATTCTTCATGTTCTTTCAGCAACAATGGGAATATGCGAAATGTGCTTTTCATCCAAATACCAAATGTTCTTGAACAGTCTTGTTGTTGTTCAATTTGTATTCCTATAATATTAATTTCAGCATTAGAAGTACATGGATAAGTTGGGGGTGGGGAGGGTAAAACAGGAAGCAGGGAGAAATGTCAGAATTCTTGAGCCATGGGAGGTGAAAATCAGAGAAATGTGAACTTAGCTGCAAACTACCAAGACAGAAAGAAACTTAAAGTGTTCATTTGAACTTACCCTGTTATCCAGCATTATGAAAAAGCAGTGACAGTCAGCACAGATTATTTTTATTCAAATTCTTGGGAGATAATTATTATTTTACCTGAATAATCCTTGAGTTATTTGAAAGGAGCCCTGGAAGAAGGAAGCAAGTTTTAAGCTGTAAAATGCATTGCTATCAATGAATATATAATTTGTACTTCAAGCCCACAGACAGTAAAAACACAAGTAAAACTCCAGAAACATACACAAAAAATTTAGTTTGTGGCAAATAATGAATTGCCAAGTCAAAGCCTATAGAAAATATTAAGGATGTACTATTTCTATAAAAGATGTTCAAGAGGGAAGAGAAAATGGGAGAAAAAAGAATGGCTGTGAAATGGAAGATGGGTCTTTTCATAGGTACTGTTAATGGAACAGCAAGAGGGACACTGAAATACATTGCTTACTTTAATATCCATTCATCTTGTCCTTTCTTCCTTTATTCTTCTAGACACATTCATCAATGAGAAACAGGTTCACGTAACAATCATTTACCTATCCACCAACCTAAATATGTTAAATAAAAATAAAATTATATTTTGGGACAGGATAAAGTAATTGCACTCAAGCTTTAATGCATCTTCTGAATAGCATTGAGTTGAGGGAAAAAATGTAGAAAATCCATTTACAAAGTTCTCTTTCCCTCCAAAAGCACAGAGCTGTGAAGCACTGGCTAAAACATATATCTTGAGGAAACAGTTCTCGAGGGACCATTTCTAAACACATTTAATCTTGGAGGCTAAAGCTGGTATCTCAGTGTTTCCTGGTAATATACATTTAAGAACGTGGTAGATCCCAGGCTCACAGCCCTTCCCATGTGGAATGATTGTCAAGTGGGCAGTGTGTGAAAGGATACTGGATTTCACCACGGGGCATTTAGAGAGGGTGACTCACACTGAGGAAATATACCACTACATTGTGTCCTCTGGGCTAGAGCTGAGTCCTGTGTTAATTGTCCTGGACAGGAGCTGAACATCTGACAAATCCGGGAATTTTCCAGCCTGCTCAGTTCTCTAATCCCATTTCTAATTCAAGTATTTTTTTTTCTTTTTTAATAGAACCTAAAGACTGAAAAGAGTAAGACTCTGTAACAAAAGTAAAACTCCATTACTGAAATTCACAGGATATAAAAATCACAGGATTGACTTAAAATGTATTTGAATCTCTCCCTTGTTCTCTCTGTCTCTCTCTTTCCATTTCACTTCACCCTCTCAAATACATGCAAACAATGTAGTTCTGTAGCCCTGAGGGTTTGCTTTCCTCAAAATTTTGTTCACTAGATTATTTCCCTTTATTTCCTTTAGAAAATAAACATCAGACAATTTCTAGCACCTTTATATTAAAACAGTTCAATATTTTTCATAATCATAAAGACTAAGAGTTGGCAACTTCACATGGAAGGAACCTTAAAACTACATATTGTTTTTCTCTATTTTCAGAATATTGATGCATTTCCCTCTGCCTGACTCCAGTCCCTTTTAGCCTGCTCAGAAGTCTCTCTAAGCTGCTGGCTGACCCAGCTGTGTCAGGAGCACATGCTGTACTGCACACTTTGTTGTTTCTTTCTTGTCCCTGCATCAAGGAAATAGTTGTTCTTCTTTGATCCTTCTCTCAGCTGCATGACTTTAGTTCCATCTGTCCTGTCTGCCATTTATGAAATAACATTTTTTCCCCAGTTCCTGCCAAATAACCTGATTTTGATATTTCCCTCTTTATGCTGAATTCCCAAGCATACATCTTTCATAACTGCAGGGTGTGTTTGGTTCTCTGGGTTGTAATTGAAGGCCTGGCTTGAGACTGAAGGGCAAAAACTTCTGTTGTTGAGGGCAATTTATCTGCGTGAGTCCCATTAATGTGAATGGAAGGTAGGTGGCTAAATCCCAACACAGCTCACAAAAAATATATAACTGGCTCTCTATTCCTCAAAAATAATACCCTAGATGTATTATAATTGTATAGTGCAATATACAGAGGCTGAAATACAGGGTTGTTTAATTTTGGAGGTAGCTTTACATAGATTTAAAATGAAGAGGACATTTGCTGAAGATTGAATAAAAAAATAAAATCAACAGCAATACATCAAAAATATTAATGTATCTAGACAGTTTTAAAATTCTTTTATACTTAGAAGGAAAAAGTTCAATATTTGTACTGTTCAGGCTATTTGTCTGAATATTGACAAATTCTTGCTATGTGTGGAAATGGAATGCTGAAGATTGCCAAGGAGAAAAACATCTAAGAACTCTTCTCTTTTTTTAATTTAAAGAGGTCAATGAGAATATTCTTCAGAGAATAAAAGCTAGGCCTTGCACTTTTCAGGTAGTAATTTCTTTATTGTCATTAATTATTGACTAGTTTATTTGCCATTTACACATTGCCCTACCTTTCCTTCTTGTCTTTATTTGTATCTCTTTATTTTATGTCCTCAATTTTTCATTAACTTGCATCAATCTTTTCTATTTTGCATTCGAAGAATCACATCCCTATTCTAGGTCATTAAGCTGTATCATCCTTTCTTAATCCAATTGCTACATGAAGACACAATACCAGGAGTGTAGTGAAAACCAGGGGATCAACAGGTTGTAGAAGGATCTCTAAGTCCCACTGTGTGGCACAATAAGGCCAAAACTACTTAAATTTAAATGCAAAAGACACAGAAAAGAACAGAATTAATAAGTAATTCATGAGTACTATTCTATATCCTGAGGTTGTTTCACTATACAAGTGGCACGCTTTCAAGTGCCATGAATAACTACGGAAGGTATCTCTGTATATCCAAATACTTAATAATTGCCTCCTATTAAATAATGATAAGGAATATACTACATGGTCTTTGTAGTTGGCTGGAACAAATAGATTTTGCCATTCTTGCATGGCATATGGCTCCTGATGATTGTACTACCACCTGAACTCTTCATAACATATTTTCTCTTTTCATTTTTTAGTGATGCTAAGAAAAAACCAATGAGTTACTCATCACAAGTGATGACCGATGTTCCATCTGCAATGCAAATATATGGGAATCACTATGGAAAAAGAGCTTTTTCACAGCTTCATGAGCAAGTTAAGAAGCAACTGAACAACTGGAGACACACACAAACAGAAGGCATGGGCAGCAGCCAGGACAGCATCTCCAGGCACTCCATATGTGGACTTTCTGTTGCCTACAGCAAATAAACTTTTGAAGCCAGCAGTGGTAGGAAAGCTGACAGAATGAATTAAAAAGTGGCAGCAGGGAGCCAAATACTGCAGTAACAGAGGTAACAGGGAACTCCCTGAACTCTGGGCAGGACAAGCAGTGAGAGGGTTGCCAGTGACAGAGAAAATCAGTTGAGGACAGGATGGGTACACAAAAGGTACCTTCAAGGTCAGGAAAGGTAAAAGTAGTGGAGAACTGTAATTACTACAACTGCAGTTTCCAGGAGGCTGTGAAGGAGCAGTTTCCCTTGAAAGATGACAGAAATACAAATTCCTGCATGGAAGTAGGTGTAGAACAGCGAGCAGCTATGAACATGTGGGGATGATTTCCTGGAAGCATTCAGGAGCTGTCAAAGAAACGGCCAGATTTCTCTTTTCAGAACAGAAATCTCCAGAGAGTGAATGACAAGAGGACATGAGGCTCCAATTGGACAAAATGCAAGTGAGCCAAATTTGCCTAGAAATTCCTGAAACCCCATGTTTAGGTACAGTAAAGAAAAATTAATATTCAGAGTATGCTCCAGATTTGTATTAGAAACTGATAGAAGAGGTGCCAACACATGACAGTCACGAACCTTTATCAAAAATTCCAGAAGCGGGCAACCAGCAAAACACCTTGTTGTGCACCAGAAATGGCTTCCTGCACGTAATTTTTCTATACGTCATTTTTAACACCACTGTCTATTTTCTCATGTTTTATTATTTACCCTGTGAAGTGCAAATTTCTTTTCCTGTTCTGAAAGTCTTGTCACACATATACAGACACTATAAGATAAAGTGATAGCTTTCTACACAGTTCTATTATAAGAACCTGAACATCATCCCAAATTACCTGTCATCAGCTGTTCGTCTTCTTTCCATTACTGACAAAACAAATGAACAGCTGCTTGCTCCACAAACCTGTGCACTGAAAAAAAAAAAAAAGACACACTACTAAAAAAAGCTGTAAACAGCAAGCAAAAAATGTATAAATGCTCTAGACATAATACCAAGTGGGTTAAGGAAGCCTGCAATCCCTGATACCTAAAGAGAAGAGTCTCCTCCAAGACATTGTTTTATAAAATTTTCTTATTTGTAAAAGCAGTTCAGCAGCAGCTGCTGTATGTTAAAAACAATTTCATTATTTGTGGATATAAACCTAGGACCTTTTTTTTCTGAGTACTGAAAAAAGGTAAGAGTACACAGGTATCATGAAAATCATTTAATCACTAAATACCAGGACATGAATTTCTATTTATTTAGAACTGCTTAAAAATTTTACAAAGTTCATTAAAATTTGAAAAAATGCCATTGTATTATTTCACTTTTTTCCATGCATAATGTTGTGAAGGAAAAGGGTAATATGTTTTCCACTTTATTTTCAAGCAAAGATTGGTTTTATTAAGAAAGTTAAGGCTAAAAAGAAAGATAAAGAAAGTTGCAGGTAAATAAAAAATATATAAAATTAATTTTTTTTTCCAAAACCTCAAAGAAATTAAATTGAAAATAAATAAAACCCAACCTTTTAGAGGCAAAACCAAATTTCAAACAAATGGATGTCTGTGGCAATTAAAATTCTGTGTAATTATTTTTCATTTTCCCTCTTTATCATTTCCCCCATTTTTCACCTTCCTTTTGCCTTAGTTAATAATTTCTCCCAGGCCTCTTTGGAACTTGAAGCAACACTGATAAATATACAGAGCTACTTTTCTACCCTACAAAAAACAGGTTTTGAAATTCATACATTTCAACCAGAATGAATAATTGCAAGTATTCAGCCTGTTGCTTGGTGCATCCCAGGCCACAGAATCTCACCAGGAATTTAACCAGGCTCATCTCTTCGCTTTGCATGGTAGCACATTGCTTAGATATGCACTCAAGGCATTGAGTGCATATCTACGCAATGTGCATATCTAAGCAAAAGCCTCTATATCCCAAGATAAGCATTTCTAGCCACTAACTGTGATAGTCACGTTTTCCTCCATAGAGCTTCCTCCACTGTAAATAATGAACATGCTAATTTCTACATCTACACTTACCTTGTGCTAATTTAAGCTTGCAGCTGTTGGATTTTGTGCTGTGGGGTTTTCGTTGTTTATTTTTGTTTGTTTGTTTGTTTGTTTGTTTGTTTCAGGGGGGAGGCAGTTGTTGTTCGGTTGTGGGGGTTTTTTGGAAGATAAAAGAGACTTCTATGATCAAATACTTCTTCAGATGTAATCATAGGTAGCCACCTCTTGACCTTTCTGGACAAACAAAATTGATTGCACTTCTTTAGTTTCACACTACAAAATACCTTTTCCAAACCCTGAAATGCTTCAATAAATCTTCCCCAAACTCCTTCCAGGTTGTCAATACCCTTTTTGCACTGCTTGGAGTTGCTGCCATCTGATTCCAGTTTCACTCTCTTTCCCCACGGCTGACAGAGGGAGCTGACACCCCGCGTTCTACAGCGACGTTTCACCTCGCACTGCAAAGGGTATTTCACCTGGGTCTGCTGAAGCACATGGCAAGGAGAGTATTTCCTCTGCTGACTTTAAAAGGAATCTTAATTCTTGGGTAGCTTTAGCGATGCAGATGAATCCCACTCAGTGGTCACCAGGGGACAATCCAGCTGTCTAGGCTCCAGAGCTCTGTGTGACTTCAGATACCTCAGGCATCACACCTGGCGGCACCCATGGATGCCTTGTCACATCTGCCAGCTGCACGCAATGCCTCTGAAAATATAAAACATCTAGGTATGTTTCATTGGGATAATTGCTTCATGAAAATGTTGTACAGACTCATCAAGACACCAAATCATTACAAGTAAAAATATTTTCCATAACGTTGCATTGACTGGCAGTTGTAATTTTAATCTTAGTTCAATTCATCCAAGAAATTTTTCCTAGGTAAGGTTCAGGCTAACTAGCAAATTGTTTTCAAGGCCATTTAAGCCACTATTCGTTAATGTTCGCCATGGCTATTTTTTCAAGCGTATGGAAGTTCCTCAGGATACAGAGATTTCAAAAAAATTAATTTAGGCAGCTCCACAGACAATGAATTATCTAATTCTGTTGATTTGAAAATATTTAGTGTTTCTGTTTAACACTCTTTGTCAGAAGTGAGAGAAAATAAAATCTTTCATTCTTCTTTTAGAAAATGGATGTGTTTACTTAATTCTGCATTTTCTTTACCAGTCTTAACAATTTTACCATCCATAGTTTTACAAAACTGCAGGCATTTTGTTCCTGTTTAAAAGAACTTCTTGTTATCTTTGCCCTACTACCCATAGATTTTCAACTGACTGCTTTAGTTTTCTTTATCAGTTCTCTCCATTATCTAATACTGAATTTATTCATTGCTATCAGGCTCCATACTTTTCCCATTATTTTTTCATTGTGGACTTCACCTCCCTCTAAGCTGGATTGGTTTTTAACTGAAGAAAATACTTTTTGTCAGTGCAAAACTCCATTTCTTCAGGTATCTAACACAATTTCCTCACCTATCAGCCCTATTTTTTCTGTGCAGACTTTGTGCTAGTAGTTTTCTTTTTGGTATGTCCACTTTATAATTAAGCAATAATTAATCTGGAACTAAGGTGTGTCAATTAATTTGCTCTGTTCTAAACAGCCCATGAATATTGCAATAATCCACAAATTTTTGTCAAATTTTCTTTTTTTTTTTTTCATTCTAAATTTTATAATTAATAGTTTAATGCTAAATTGACATGAAAAGCTTTTGGCTTTGGGGGAATTTTAAAAGTATTGTAGCAAGATATAGTAAGGATATTTTGAGATTCTTCCATGATGAATGGGATCCATCTTATATGTCTCTTTTACATGACACCTATTTTTGGCACTCTAGTGCTGTTTATCATTCCCTGTCAGTTCCAGAACAGCCAAACAACTTCTCCTGGCTGCCAAACATGCAGATGACCAAAGTGGCATGAGAAGAATCCATCTTGTGTTGAAATGTCTCTAAATTACTTCCTTTTCAAAGGTTCCCAATGACTTTCTCATCCATTTCTTCACTAGACATCAGGACACCGTCACAGGGAATGGATTGGTGATCAGATGGACTCTGGACCAATCAGTGAACTAATACAGAACACAGCATGGTTGGTCATGATCGTAAACTTAGACATGTAAAGGAGTGGTAGACAACTCAAATAAGGTGTCTGAGAGATTCAGAATTAGAATCTGAACCTCTCAAGATTCTAGAGGACATAAATTCTGAGGAATTATTTAATTAGGGAAGATTTTTAAAACAGTGAAAATGGACCTATGGGAATATCTGTTGTTACAGCCTGAGCCACAGAATCTCATATAGAAATGAAGGAGATTTTAATTTATTGAAAGCAGAAGCTGTGAGGACAAAGCCCTAAACCCAGCTGAAATCAAACATGCAAACACATTTACATTGCTTCACACAGCTGCTACCACATCACTGAATCACTGTCTCAAAAGGATAACAATGATGACAGAACCATGGGGGTATAAAATCACATTACTGTGTTTCAAACTTCATCAGATATTAATGCTTCACATTTGCCTAAATTTACTCTATCTCAGTCAACAACTGTGTAATTCTACAAAATCCAGAGGTATTTGAGGAGTCGTCAAATTGGGCAGGTGAAAATTCATATACAAATAATCTTTTCTTGTTCACATTTTGAAAATTCAGGGGTCTTTGATTTGTTTCTCTATTACAGTATTTTGTCCCCAAGTATAGTTAGAAAAGGCTAAGGCAAAGATAATCAAGTTCATGTTTTTTGTTTTTATTCTCAAATTTTGAGCAGGCCTCAGTTTAGGCAATGGCCTTACCCTCAAAAGAACTACATTGCAACTTATGATTGTTGTGTTAAAACAGTGGTAGTGCTGATCAAGAAGAGCTCTTAAGTGCATCATATAGAACAGCGTGGAGAACTTTATAGTATTTAAAGAGCACATGAAAAAAAAGCATGTATCCATAGCTCATCAATAAAAGATTCATATCGTTGTTTTCAATTTTCCTTAATGCACTTTAAAAAAATTAGAAGTGCATTTATAATGTTATTTAATGGTGTTAGCTAGGCAGACACAATTGTTATTTCTTCTTACTATGAAATTTAAAAGTAAGTTACTGTATAATAAATTAGCAATATTTTTGTTCTTTTTTTTTTTTTTTATTATATGTATTTCTGGTTTTGGTGGCAGTATGAGCAGCCTCCTTGTGGATCACAGCCTCACTATGCTAAAGAAATGGCAGAACAGAAGACAGTTTCCAGTTATTAAAAAGATCTCATCATCGCTGCCCTTTGAGCTAGACAAGTAAAGGGACTACAGAAAAGGTAATGAAGCCTTGGAAACAAAACCTACTGAAAGTATGGCCATAAATGCCACAGGGCAGGGATCTTTTAAAAACAGTATCACAATTGTACACGGTGAACCCTTCAGTTGACTTGGTTTGAAAATGTGGTCCCTGTATCGATAATCAATATATTCCATTGTGACCAAGAAGACATAAATGAACGCTTTCAGTCTGGATTGGATTAAAGGAAGCTGCGGGAGTGAGTGGGCTGTGTGGCAAATGCTGCTTCTTTTCTAATTGAGCCACTTGCTTTTGAAAGAGTCAAAGATGTCCCTAGTGGACATAACATGGGGTGTGCTAGAAGGATAAGGTTAAAAGAAAGGAGGCTAGAGGAGTTCAAGGCACTGTTTATTACTTTGAACATTTCTGAATAAAGGGAGGGTTAGCTTTTCAGTCAGGAGAATGCAGCTGTCTCACTCCTGACTGTACTGATTTGTAAGAGTGTCTGTCCCCTTAATCTTATTCTTTTTTTCTTTAATCTGTATGTTTTATAAACCTTATCTTTTCTCTGACCCTACGTTTGAGTTAATCCCTAGTGTCCTATGCTTCTGTGCCTGTCTAGGTCTATTCAGCTTCAAAAAGGCATTCAGCATTCCCTGTGGCACCACAGGGATCAGGGATGAGCAGCGTCCATCCTAAGACCCTTGTCTCTTCAAAAACCCCGTCTTCTATGCCCACAGCCAAAAGAGTCATCACTGACACATGTTTAGTCTTCTGTACTTCCTAAAAATTGAGATGAGGAATGGAGACACATAAAGAGATGAACGAGAAGAAAGAGAGAAAGAGAAGAAAGGGAAAGGGAAAGGGAAAGGGAAAGGGAAAGGGAGAAAGGGATGAAGGAGGGAGAAGGAAGGAAGCAGGGAAGCAAGGAAGGAAAGGGAAAATAATATTTCTCACAATTTGAATGAGAAATTCAATTCAAACAAAAGAACAAGTTAACAGCAATACTGAAAAAAGAGGATACAAGCAAACACTGGACATTAAGGCTTCCTGGGCACAGGATATGAGAAGTAGTGCTTATATTTTTTCAGGCATTTGCTAAATAACCAAGATTTATACCTAGATTTTCATTTTGAAAATAAATGTGGGAAATAGGCAAAAGTTACGTGAAATGCCACAATGATCTGAGAGACAAATGACAGATGAGATAAACAATGTCTGTGCAAACCAGAATCAGACACTTTTATTTCAAGACTGGAACTGTGCTAGGATTTTGTCCAGTAAATAAGATAATAGACTAGGCACATCTTGCTACTAAAGAACACTTCTTTCATTAATAAATAAAAAAGGGTATGTTTCCTCCCTCCTTAAGTCCTTTTCTTAAGTCTTAAAAATAGAGACTTTGCATTTCAAAATAGCTGAGTGGATCCTCAGGGATACAAAGTCTTAAATTTTCTTCAGGGCTACAATCTTCTCAAGAAGTTCTTTCAAAGACTGAAACAGGCTTCATTATTTCCCTAAAAAATGCAACTATTAAATGACAAGATGCTTCTAAACCACTTTTTTTCTATAGTAGATTCACAAGAATGCCCAGAGGTTTGGATTCCAGGCCTATAACACACAGTTGTAAAATTGTTTTTTTCTGCTTTTATGCAAAAGCCTATGTCATGTCTTTGATACCACAATCAAAGACTGACAGCAAAATATGGAAAACAAGAATCAGAAACATTAATTTATTAGGAAAAAATAATTTTTTTAGCTGATTACAACCTAATTCATACTGTAAGGGGTCATTTTTTTGTTGGATTTTATTTTCTCCCTAATTTACTGGCTTGTCCTGATCTGCTTTTCCCTTATCTTTCTATTTATATGTTCCTGTCTTGAAGACATTCTGGATAACAAGTACACAAGCGCAAATCATCAGATTGAATACCACATAAAAACATTGTTTTCCACAATCTTTTGAACATTTTAACTTTTTTTTCTTGTGGAGGGAAAAGAAAAAAAAAAAAAAGAGATAATTCCTTCCCTGGTTCTGTTCCAAAAATCTGGAGAACATACATATTAGGGGCAAAGAGCATTACCTTTCCTTATATTTTGTGAATTGGACTACTGAGCCAAAATGGCCACAGAAGTTCACCATACTAATCAGTTTTCAGTAATTGTGAAGGCAAAGGGGGCATTTGTAAATATGCTGGCAGAACATAACCTTTCCACAAAGACACCCATCAGTGAAATAGAGCACAGATCCAGAACATGTCAAGGAGATGAGCTGTGGAGCAAATAATGCCATCTGTACTGCTCATGATGTTCTTGGACCAAAGTATCAGAAAGTTGTAAATGAATGCCATGTTTATGTTCCCATAATACAGCCGTGATTGATAATAAGCTACTGATATCGATGAGACTTTGTAATTCAGTGAAAACAAAATAATTTTGGATGAGAAAATTAATGTGCATTATCAGAAAATTAATAGTAGCCTGCAGAATCACTTAAGCTATAACCTTCCATTATGCAAGGTATCACCTGGGGAAGAGAAAATAAATATTTACAAATAAGTTCGGTAGATTACTCCATTTAGAAATTTGTGGTATTCACCATTTGCAGATGAACATTTTTCAGGAAATAGGTCATTATTGCCCAACTTTAATCTCACCAGGAATGCCTGTGACATCTGACATATCTCTCAGATACTGTGGCTGCCCCATCCTTAAAAGTGTTCAAGGCCAGGCTGGATGGGGGCTCTGAGCAACCTGGGATAGTGGAAGGGGTCCCTGCCCATGGCAGGAGGTTTGGACCTAGATGATGTATTAGGTCTCTTTCAACCCTCACTCTATGATGATTCTATGATGATGATTCCAGTTTCTGAGACAAAACAATTGCACATTTTCAAAAGGAAACAACACCAGAATTTATGTCATGTCCATTTTACAACTTGTTCTGGATTAAGGGTATGAAAGATTAATGGGTATGACTGTGAGTAAACACATTGAATTCACAGGGAA